AGCACTGGAGCGGGGCAAGCCCCGGACCCCACTCCCCGGCGGGAGCTCTAGGGCCAGATTAAAATGTCTGAAGGGACAGATGCGGCCCTCGGGCTGTAGTTTGCCCATCCCTGCTCTAACAGTTTGGAATTTAAAGGGTGAGGGACTTTCTTCAAATATTCAAAAACTGAAATATAAACTTCTTCTATTTTCAGAAATCTCAAGTAGGAAAGCATATCAAAAGTTACATGGACTCATTTGGTATCACAAGCTTTTTTAAAAAAAGGTTAGAAGCAAAACTGCAACATGTTGCCCAGAAAATACTATTTAATGTGGCATCGAAGCAGTTAACATTTCCTACTAGACATTTATCCTGTTAATGTTGGCAGCCTACTGAACACATTTTAACAAGTTTGTTATGTGAAGTTCCACTATAAAGATTGGATACAAGTTTAAAGGAATGCTTTGCAGTTTAAGTAAAGTAATCAGTTTATTCAATCTGTAGTGCTCTATGATTAACTGTTAATCATCACATACATTTCCTGTGTGCCCTCACTATTATAATTTACATTATATTAGTCAATACAGGTCACAAACAAAAATCAGAGAGTCAACTGTGGTAGGCACTGTACACAATAGAAGATCAGGGTTGGCTCCAGAGTTCTTGCAGTCTAAGGCTACATCTTTATGCACAGTTGCACTGGCTTATCTAGATCATTTTAAAATTGATGTAGTTAAACAACTGCAGACCCTCTATTAGATGCACTTTGAATGGGATTAAACTGGTTTAGCTCCAGTCAGTAAATTATTAAATTAAAAAACAGTCTGCAAAATTGGAGCATGAGCCATGGGAGTACAGGTAATTTCAGAAGAAACACCGGGCGGGGGAAGAGGGGGGAACTTGCCTCTGCAATAATGTTTACAAGTGCACTCCCAGTCCTGCAGTGGTTAGATAAGTGGCAAATTGAGATTTCTGTTCTAAACTCTTCATTACCTCAACCTCTCACTCCATTTGTCTATTTCATCTACCTGTTGTATCCTGTCTGACACATAGGTTGTAAACTCTCTGGGAAAGGGACTGTGTTCTTTGTTATTTACCCATTTGCCTAGCAAAATAGGCCCTGAACCTTGATAGGGGTTCCTAGGCGCTATGATAATACAAATGAAAATAAGCAAGGGTTAAACCAGTTCAATTGTTTCTACATGAGCAGTTTGCACCAATTTAACTAGTTTTAAAATCTACAGACAAGGTTGAAGTTAAATGTAACAGTAGGTATAAAGTACAATAGGAAGGAGCAGAGGAAGAAGAAGAAGGGAGCTGTCTGGACAATACAAAATACCGAGTAGTAGGTACCTAAATGCCTATCCCTTTTCCAACAAAAATCTCAGACCCTCTGACTATTCCATTCAATTGTTGGTTGTTTTGTTCTCTCAGCACATTTAACAAGCATATCCTGACAATAAAGCTAGTGATCACTGACATGTTTATTCTGCCTACAGCAATAAACTCTACTATGATCACTAAGCTCCTTGGACTAGTCACAGTGCTTTCTTATAACTACATAATGTCACAACAAGAACAGGAGTACTTGTGGCACCTTAGAGACTAACAAATTTATTAGAGCATAAGCTTTCGTAGACTACAGCCCACTTCTTCGGATGCATATAGAGTGGAATAAATATTGAGGAGATATATATACACACACATACAGAGAGCATGAACAGGTGGGAGTTGTCTTACCAACTCTGAGAGAGCATAAGCATCCGATGAAGTGGGCTGTCACAAGTACTCCTGTTCTTTTTGCGGATACAGACTAACACGGCTGCTACTCTGAAAAATGTGGCAACAGAATGTCAGAGGCATGCCTCTGAAGTTGATTCTTCTGTACTTAGTAATGCAACAGATTTCTTTAACTGCGATGCTATTAGAAAAAGTCCCGTATTCTGTGATCTCTTTATAACTAGTGAAGTACTAATGTGTTTAAATAATCCACATACAAGTCTCAATAACATTGTGTCACAGTTTACTGTACTATCTGCTGCATAATACCTAATCACAAAAGAGGTGACACATTCAATTGTATCCAAGCAAAATGAAACAAAAGAGCACTTACGAATGACTCAAATTGTGAATATGAATAGTATTTCTTTCAAAAGTTCACAGAATACATGCAGGGTTTTTTATGGCTATCATTTGATATAGCACACATTAAAAACATATAACACAGTTCTTTTACAAGTTCTGTAGAGGTGCTTATTCTCATAATTTTCATAACTGTCTAATATAGGCAATGTAAAAATAGAGAACTACTTGTTACATTAAATACCATTTTCATTTTGAAAAATTAGATTCAACAACAACAAAAAAATCAATATTTTGCCAACACATGAAGTTGCTAGAACATTAATAAAATACTATATCATATTATTACTTTTTTCTTTAACCTTTTAAATACAGCTGTGGCACACAGAGCAGTAAATGAGAATGCTATGCTTTAAAAGAATGCCACACAAGGTATGTAACATTTCCAATGTGCAATCAGAAAACTGGGGTGAATTCTCTCCCTGTAGAAAATGTATTTTCTTAAAAAACAAACAAAACAAAACAAACACACTTCCTTAAAGTGTACCAGTTTGATTAAAGCACATAACTTCTACTGAAAGGAGGATCAAACAAACAAACAAAACCTCTTATATTTTTATTTTCTGTTAAATTTTGAAGTTGCTTAGGTCAGAGGCCATGCTCTACACAGCCTCTACTCCCTTCACCTTTGAGTGGAAGATACACAGCATATTGTTCATGCTACCTACATGTAAACAAAAATAGTTTTAGTAGCATATTCCAATGGTCAGACAGCACTTACAATTTTATCAAAGTGAACCAGTATTAATTGAACTTTTAAAAATAGATATTTTAAATTTCATTGGTTTCCCAGTTTAAAAATAAAGTTAAAATTGAGAGTTAAGTTCCAATATTTTAATTTTCAGAGGTATCAGAAATTCACCAAATGTCAATGTCTTTCCAAGACAAAAAGTGTACGGTCTACCTATTCAATAAGTCAAGAAAGCTTTATTCTCCCTGCCCTTCCCAAGTCTCGTACAATGATTAATAAAAGGAGTAACAGCCATCAGCAGAATCAAAAGCGAGCTATAAAGTATTATTACTTTGAGGCCACACCTGTCCCCCAAACAGTTTTATTTTTAGTTATACATCACATGTGCATTTGGACTGTAATTTAAAATTAATATGCAGTGGAAAATTAGAAAGACAACATAAGGCTTAATCTACCCTGGGCTACATACATATTTATTTCAACTGTAGTAAGATATTGTACATATTTTTTATAGCAAAGTAGAGTTGCCTTCTGAAAATTAGTGTTCCTACGAGAACGAATATATACAATGTTCCTGTATACAATTTAGGATTTCCAGTTTAGAACATTCATTGATCATAGACATACTGGTTTGTGCAGAAACAACCTAGACTCCAAGAATTTTAAAATACATTTTCACTCTTCCAATTCTGCACCTCTCAACACCTTTCCCGACAGGATGGGCGTGTTCACTGCTAAATCACGTCTCCCAATTTCCTTATGCTTTTTGTGTGATTGTAGCAAAATGTCCATACACAGCCAAGATAGTAAACTTAATTTATCCTCAGAGGCAAATGTGTTAGCTGTAAAACAGCTGCACGTATCATTACAGTCACCCAGAAATGCTCTTATTTTGAACATTTGTCACTTTTCTCCTATTGGTGTTGCTTACTGATCAAACAAAAAGGCTGCCAAGTTACCAGATTCCCATAGCTGTACTTCCTACCGCCAGCAGTAGAGGATTTTAAGGCTTAGATAGTTTCTTCATTTAAGGTTTGGGTACTGGTGTGCAATCTGAAATTTAGTTATATCAAAAGCATACCTAATCTTTACATTGTATTCAACATACATAATCAGTGACTAGGGATCACCTCATGGCTTGTGGACATAAGGTAGTTCAGTATAATAATCACAGTGGAGGAATACAATGCTGTTTCCTTAGCTTAAAAAATACCCACAAACAGATTTAACAGTTCAGCTTGATATCCTGATCATGTGGCCCTATTAACAAACCTGTCCCAAACAATGTTTGTCAAAGCAGCAGTTTGCATGATAGTTCTTGGACTTGATTAGTAGCTACTACAGTTTCTTTAGCTAAGCACTGTGTAATTATTTTCTTTGATCTGACAGAGAAATATAAGCCACAGACAGAAAATAATCACCATTAGACTATGCTCAGACACCCACTATTAGTATTCTGTTATTTTATCTACAGCTGGACTATTGTTTTCTAAAAGTTTTCTAAATCCCCTTTTCTCTCCCCACCACTCCCAAATCACTTCCTCACAAATATCAACTTAAATGGCTATGACAGTTTGAATAGCAGAATGAAAATCGCCCTGGTGCTAACAAATGTAAATCTGGGGAAAGACGTGGTGGCGATTGTTGCCTCCTGCTGGGTTTCTGTGTTGTTTCAGATGGTAATTGACACGCCCTGTAATTTAACAGTACCAGACAGTTCTATCTGTCCCATCTCTGGCAAAACACTGCCTCTCTGTTCCTTTTCATTACGTATTATATGAGAGTATAAATGCAGCTGAGTATGATAAAGAACGGTAGTTCATGTTAAACAAGAAGGATCCATGCATAGAAATATTTTCCAGATTAGATCGCCGTTTACAAGTATTAACAAAAACATATAGCAAAATGTGTGTTGCGGCAACACCACACACGACGAACGTTTTTCTTCTCCTCCCGCCCGCCCCCGCCGCTACCACCACCAAAGCTTCTGCAGCTCGGCTTAGGAACATACACCAAACAATTTAAATACCAATTGCACAAATGTTTCAGCAAAAACTTGGCGCAGAAATCAAAGGCCCTTGATAACGGGGAGGAAGTGAATATCCAGCCTTACTCAACTCGGGTGCGGTGAGGGACAAGCAACCTTCAAACTGATCTCATCGCGGAGAAATGCAGCGAGAATCTAACCTGAACCTGTGCAATGCCATGCCGAAGGCATTAAGGCAAGCAGACACCGCTCCTGCCCTCTCTGCAGCATGGAAACACAGAGAGGTTCGCTAACTCCCGGGTAGATGCTCTAGTGACCTTTGACTATTGGAGGAGAGCTGGGCAAGGAGCGATCTGTTGCAGCGGGTTGTGTGCGCGCTTCCCCTGGCGCATTCCTCACATTCCAGCACAATCTAAAGCCCCAGGAACAAACAGCGTGTGTCCCCCTCGCCTCCCCCCGCCCCACACACGGTACGAGCCGCACACCTGCCTTCTCATCCGCCCTGCGCTCCACTCCGCAAGCGCCCTGTTTGTCGCACTCCTTGAACATGCAGGCAAAACCAGGCAGCCTTCTGCCCCCTCCCCACGGGGCTCGGGGACCGCAGAGGGGCAGTTCCGTGGGCCTGCCACCTAGAAGCCCAGCGCGGGGAAGGGGTTAGAGGAGACTGTGGCTGCGTTCATTCAGCCTAAGCCCAAGCAAAGCCAATTTTACAGGGAAACGGAAGGCTGAAGGGAAACACGAGCTTGGGAGGGCCGGGAGAGAAGAGGTCTGGGCGACAGAGGTTAAGAATGGAGAGGGCGTTAGGGGGAGAGTTTTGGGAAAGGAGTCAAGCCAAAGGCGGGGGGAGAGGGGGCGATCAGAGGAAGAGACAGGCCTAGGGACGGAAGGATTTGGGGGGCTATGGGTAAGGCTGGGGGAGGGAAGCGAGACCAGTGCGGGAAGAGACAGGCTAAGGGGGGAAAGGATTGGGGGTGGGGTATGGGAAAGAGACAAGCCAAGAGGGGAGAGGCTGGGGATGGCCAAGTGGGGGCAAAGGGTTGTTAGGGGTGAAAAGACAGAGACCTCGCGGGGAAGGGATCTGGGGGTGAAGGGAGAGACAGGGAGACTCAACCTCTCTCCTCGGCTCCCTACAGCTGGTTTTGCTCCTTCCTGGCTCAGCCTCCCCTCTGATCCGGAGCCGGGTCCCCGCCCCAGGGTACCCCCCACCCTAGAGTGTCCCCGAGGCCTCCCATGTCCCCGAAGCCTCACTCACCGCACAGATGACACCGCTGGCAGGAGCTCTGGGCGCGGAGGGGCCCCAGCTGTAGCCTCCCCGCCGGGTCGGGCCCTACCCCGGGGTCTCCATGGTGGTGCCGCCGCCGCCGCCGAGTCCCGACCCCCTTTCAGCCTAGTCTCCCTAGTCCCTCCTCCCACCACGGACGTCAGCACACCGGCCTGCCTTGTGCCGCAATGCTATTGGAAGATCCCGGCTCAGGGCCGCACCCTATTGGTCACTGTCTCATATTAAACCACCCAATGAGCCGGTTAGTTGAGGTTTCTATGGTTACCGATGCTGTGATGGGGCTGAGTGGAAGGGCTCAGAGCAGCAGTTCCTTGAAGCTCGGGTGTGTGCGGCGGAAGGGGAGCGGGCAGAGGGAATCATTAGGTCACTGGGGGAGAGGGAAGGCACTGGGCGGAGAGAGGTCACTGGGCGGGAGCAGGGAAGAGAGGGGAGCCGGTGGGAGGGTAACAGGGTAGGGTATGGTCCTTTTCCACGCTCTGGGGCCTCTTAAGCAGAATTGCCTGCAGTGCCAGGGATTTACAAGGGAGCCAGCACGCTGTTCCCTGCCCAGGCTTGGGGACTGTCAGGCTCGCCTGTCCCGCTGGAAAGGTGAGGCGAGAGGAAAGGCAATGCATTGACAACGTGGTGCAAAATCCAAAAAAGTTACCACCCTAGTAGTGAAGTTTGCCCCAGACCATTTCTGCTAGTAACTAGGAGTGGGTGGAGGTCTCCTAAGATACCATCTAAGAATCCATCCTCTTCCTTCCGGTAAGTGTGAATCCCAGCCTTGATTTCAGCTTTCACTCCCCACTGTGCCTCCCATTAAACTTGGCTCCTGGTGAGCAGCTGCTTTTCAGTCACTGACTGTTGTCCCTGTATGTTGTATAAGTGGATCTGGTGAGAGAATGGCTGTCTATAGCTATAGATATATTGGAATGGGCCATATATTTAGCCATGAGCAAGAGCAAATATAATAGGAGTTAAGAATACTTCCTACCTGGAAGACCAGGAGCAGCAACTAGTTACAAAATGGCTACTTTAGAACTACAGCTGCTTGACTCTTCCATATTTAAAGGGGCAGCCTGAGAAAGGTATGCTGGGAAAAATGCTCCTATTAGAGGGCAACCCTTTAGTAGAGTCAGAAAAGCCCAGTAAACTACTAAGGAAATGGTGCCTGGTAAAGAAATAATGTCTGTAGCATGTATCACTGCAGTATTATAGGTCCTAAACAGACAATACAATACAATACATACCATTATCTGACTACTAAGTTTTACTGTGCTATT